AAGGGCAGAGAAAGGAGGTGGCTTGTCTTCTGGGAGAGCCAGATGGAGCTGGGGTTGGAACCTGGATCCTCCCCCAGCTTTGTTCAGCGCTGCCAGGCTTGCTCACAGCTCCCAGCACCTGCTGAGTCATTACCTGCAGCTCTTTTCTCCTTAGCCATCTCCTGGGAACAGTTTTTATGTCCTCAGATCAGTTCACCTTCAGTCACCTGCTCTGCATTTAGGAAGCCAAAGCTACAAAACCCTGGGCAGAAGAGACAGCGGTCTGGGGACAGCTCTAGGACAGACCCACTGGACAGATAGAAGCATTGACCTCCCTTCATAGGAGCATCTTTGCATTTGACTTTAAAGGTTTCCTGTTCGGCCGGCACATGAATAGGACTGGCTAAAATCTCACCTTGAGACATAATCAACACCAGCTACCTGTTTCCACAGTCACCTGGCAAGAATGCCTGGCTCACAGTAATAAGTCTTTGACTCATTCAAAAGACAGTTCATTCATTCATTAAATGAATTAGGATTAGAGAGGCATTGCCTACTGGAGGTAATTACAGCTGATTTTTCATGGTGCTCATTTAGCGAGGACCACGTTGCCAGGTTCTCTTGGTATTTATAGGATCCTGGTGGTCTCTGCCATTGCTGCTGGGTTGAGATATAGAAGAAGTTTTTTCACATCCTGCATCCCCTTTGGCAGGTTACAGTGTGAATGTGTTTCATTTAGACTGTGGCACCTGATAGTTTAATATTCGCCCTACATTCAACACTTGGCCTTCTTCTGCCCCTTTTCTTGCCTTCATTTACCTCGCTAGTAGTTTTCAAGACTGTATATCTTCTAAATACAAGCCTATTTTTTAAAAAAAATTAAGAACAAGGGTTGTGTATGCATTACCTATGGCCACAAGAATGCCATGTCTGCAAAATTACAGGGTAAAGGTTGTGGGATGGTTAACTTGACCAGTTCACCATAGACCTCAGTGTAATTTGCCTTTTCTTTATACTTAGGCCAGTGCTTTGCAAGTGGAGCATGCCTGATAAACACAGGTTATGTAAAAGTAAATAAAGTTGTCACACTAGCGAGCTGTTCTAATCAAGATTGTGCTGGCTGCATGATGTAGACATTAGCAAGCGTTTTATCTGTTAGAAGGAAAGTTTATGTCCCCCAAGTAAAATTTGAATTTTTCCTGCATTGGGTGCAGGGGTGCCTTGCTTGCCACTAAGAAATCCCTTTTCCTGTCATCCTCATCACCATGGTTCACACCACCATTGTTTTCAGGGTGTTAGAATGTAAATGTCCAAGCCATAGGCAACAAAGAGAGCAGCAGCTGCTGCCACACCCAAGTGTGCATCCTCTAGAAGAGAGATTGTGTTCCATGTGTTGAACACTGAATGTGTCAGAGGAAGAAGCAATCTCTGGCCAGTGTCTTTAACCTTTGCTTTTGCTTGTCCCTCTTAGAGGAGTCTTTGGAAAGAGGGGGCCACAGGCCAGCAGCTGCATCAGCAGCACCCAGAGCTTAGAAATGTAATTACTGTGAGGTGGATGTTTGAGGAGCCCTGCTCCCAAGCCCAATGATCCCAGAGACTGGCAGCATCGTTCCCCTTTTCTGGACTGTCCCACACTTCTGAGGATGCAACAGCCCCAGACACATGCTCAGAAGCTTCTCATGTTAGGACAAAGACCGGGCATCTCCCGTTTTCAACCATTTCACCTAAAAGTTACTTGACCTTGCTTTTTGGTTCAGGGAGACAACACGAAGGATGCCAGGGCTCATTGTAAACCTGCCTCTGGTTATGACAAAGCACATCTCAAGGTAGGAATAACCCTGTTCATTCTCCAGAAACAGACCAGGTTTGTGCCAGAGCAAGGGACAAAGTGGGCTCAGATTCAGACACCTCCTGTCCTCCTCTCTTTTAGGGGGCCCACAAGATCACTGGGCCTGTGGGCAGCCACATCTGCTACAGAAGATTCGTACAGCAGACCCAGTGAAGATACCAGTGTTAATCATAAGGGCGAGGGTGGCATGCCTCAAGTGTTTAACGAGGCTTAATGGTGGTTTGGATCTGAACTCAGCAGAACTGTTTGCAGTCCCCCTGCCCATTGTTTGGTTCCAGCCCTTACAGGAAGGCAGCCTGGACAGTGGTGCTGATGACTCTGCACAGCCAACGAGTCTACCTGGGTGGCACTTGTGTGTTGTGTGTCCACATGCATGTGTGCATGTGAGACAGACACACAGAGAGCCCCAGATCACTCCCAGTTTGCTGGCTCCAGGGTTCATACCGGTTACCTCACTCTGCCCCTTCCTTCCCCTTCTTGGAGACTCACACAAGCACTTCTGTTTGATTCACATAGAACCGTGAGAAACAGTCCCATATGTGAGGCTGTGGTTTTCATTCTATTCAGTCTTTGTATATTCAAATTCTCCTAGTTTTAGCTCTTGCTGTTCTGCCAGATTTCCATCGCATTGATGGGTTCTCTGAATTAATAAGTGTTTTGCAACCGCTGAAAAGTTTTCTCCTCCCAGCCCAGGGACTTATCCATATTGATTTTTTTTTTTTCCTTTCTCTTTCTTCTCTAGCTCCTTCTTAGATGTTGTGTTTTGTAAAGTGTTAATAGAATTTTTCTTTCACCCTGACACTTTATCTATTCAGGAGGCCTTTGCGGGTACCATTGTACAGCTGGACTACAGAGGAAAGAGCCTCCATTCTTTGTGACAATGACTGCCCCCAAAACATACACAGTCCTGCCCCACGCTCATCAGGGTGGAGTATCGGAGGCCCAAAGAAAATGTCCAAACTTAGCAAAGAGGGGAGGGAGCCAATTACACACTGTTGAAAGTGGGTTTTGAAAATACATTTTTTTAAAAATTCAAAGCATTTATTTCCTAAGGGGATCTGAGTCTCAGGACCAAAACACGGCCAGCACAAAAGGGACGCTGTTTTCCTTACTGTTAGGCATTTTCAGCGCAAAATAAGGATTTGGCAAACATCTCAGAAATTGTGGAGATGGGTGCGAAACAGATGTCCTGTTTACCTTTTTGCCTGGCCGCCTGCACGCACACCCCAGGCATTCGGATTCTTATCCCGTCCCAGGGCCTGAGCCTGAGATGCCATATGCTCGAGTGTGACTGCTCTGTGTACAAACACACCAGTTGATCTTGTGGTGGTTTTGCTTTGAGTGCGTGAATGCCTGTTGTGTCCAGCCTCTGCAGGTGCTCGGTGGGGGCGGGGGGCTCTTCAAGCCTGCCCAGGGGAGGAGCCCCTGTTTCAAGTGATCTCCAAACCAACGTCATCACCTGCTCCTGTCAGCTAGTGCCCAGGAGAGACAGGGCAGCTGCCTGCTGGAGGAGACACAGAAGAGGCCACTCTTCACCCAGCAACTGACTTCAGGAGTGGGGGGGCCAGCAGGGGAGGCCCCAGGGGCTTGTTGTTCAGCCTTGGTTGCTTAGCAACTGAAGGGGCCCCTCCCTCCAGAAGGGTTTTTTAAGCCAGGCCAGTTCCTTCGGGGTTTGTGTCTTACTTGCCTGTCCCATCTTCCCTTCTTACCTGGACTCTGCGCTTCCTCCCCTGTTATATCTGTTAGCAGCTGGAAAAATAGATTTGATTTGTCTGGAGGCACCATTTGAAACGTTGTTTTATTGCTTCACCCAATGTCCTCTCCTCTGTGGAAGATTGCAGTCTGGGAGGAGTGAGAAATGAATAGCCTGTGATTCCCTTTCTCAGCTGGTTTAGCTTGGGCCCCAAGGCTCATTTGTGAGCCTTTGAGCACAAATCAATGGTGCTTGGTTCCCCCGTCCCCATATGCACACACCCCAGTTTGCTCTAGGACAGTCCTCTGGCCTAACAGTTTTGTCACCCACAACCACCTGGGCATGGTCGTATTTTTCACTGCCACTCTTGGGCACAAAATGAACGAAGAGAGCTAGCTGCTCACCCGAGTGAGTAAGCTGATTGGTTAGGACAAAGACCTATGCTAAAGATGTGTTTCGTGGAATGAAGGATTGCACATAAATAAAAAGAGGATTCTAAAGCCAAAGCTGAGTTCATGAAGAATTAGTTTCTTGAGATCTCTGGGGGAATCGAGTGTGGATCTGGAAGTGTCACTGCTAGAAATATCTAGAATGGTTGAAGGATGTGTGGAAGAGAGGTAGAAGGTGCCTTTGGTATTCTTTTCTCTCTGCTGTTTGGAAAGGACCTTGAATCAGTGTGTTCGTTAGCTAGGGCTGTCATAACAAAGTACCACAGACAGGATGGTTTAAACAACAGAAATTTATCTTCTCTCCACTTTGGAAGCTAGAAGTCTGAGGTGAAGGGGTGACGAGCTTGCTTTCTTCTGATTCCTCCTTGTCTTATAGGTGACTGTCTTTTAGCAGGGTGGGCACCTGGTCTCCTGTATGTGTCTGAGTAATCTCCTCTTAGAACTGCAGTTGTAGTGAGTAGATCAGGGCCGCCCTGAGCACCTCGTTCAGTCTTCATTGCCAGTCTCCAGATACGGTCGTATATGCAGTACTAGGGATTGGGACTTTAACGTATGAATTTGAGGGGGTATAGTTTAGCCCATAACAAACTCCTAAAGTTCCACTGCTTATAACTGGAAAGAATTTAGATACTTTATCATAAAGGAAATAATTGAGTAAGCTGTGTGCTTCTTGCTCCATGAAATATGATACGCTAGTCCTGGGAATTGTTTGTGATAGTGTAACATTATTTACTTTAAAAAACAGAAAGGAGAAAAAAAATTCCGCATGCAATATGATTTAAGGTGTTAAAATAGGCATAGGTATTTTTAAAGGAAACACTAAGGGAAAATACGCCATGTGGTAACCATAGTTGTACTAGGTAGAAAGATAAGCATTTTTTTTGTTTCAAATGTTCATTAACGAGCAACTATGTTTCCTGTAGTGGAAACCCCCTCCCCTGGAAATATATATTTGTGTGTGTGTATGTTAATGTTTTGTATATTTTGTGAACATTCCTAAAGTAACCTGTATTCTACATTTGTTTTACAGGTGGAAGATGCAATGCTGATGTTTGATAAAACCACCAACAGGCACAGAGGTAAGATGACTCCAGTGTAAGAAGGTTGTCCCTTCTGGCCTTCATTTCCTCTCACCTCCATCCCACTGGCAAAAGATACAGGGCAAAGTCCAGAATCAAGCAGGCAGAGGTGTTTCACCATCTCTGAAAATCTGTATCAACCCCGGGCCACTGTACTACAAAGAAAGAACCCAGACGGGTTTCGGTTGTCTTCCTTTTTGGCAGGGGAACTATCAATGCACTGTGCAGCCACTCCCAGCTCACACACTCAGGTAGATCTTTCTAGTCTTGGTTTCTCTTAGTCCCCTGCTAACCTCACCACTAAGTGATCCTAGTGGAAATTATTCATAGCAGTTACTCAGTTGAGTTCTCAATTTGCATTGAAGGAGGTGGTGGAGAAGCAGACTGTCAGTCTAGAGGGAGAGAGGAAGGGGAGACTCCTTGTCCTAGGTTTGTTCAGTGTGTGTGGTTATAGACTTGGAAATGCCCTGTGGCACCTCGGAACGATTTGTTGTCTCCTTTGTGCTGCTCCTGTGCCATCCAGGCTGCAGGACATGTTTGTTCAACCTGGGCTCCAAGAACCTTTAAGATAACATGCAAAATGTTGTGTGTTTGAGCTTACTCGGGAGAGGATCCTTGACACTGGACAGATCGCCAGAAAGCTCTCTGACCAGCAACTCTCAAAAGAACACATTAAAATTATTGCTTTGAACAGAAAAATCGCAGGAATCTAGAAAATCCTCCCCAGAGGTAGTAGAGTCAATCAGAGGTTATGATTTAGCCTTCTGTTTCCTGTTCTCTGGAAGCTCTAGGTTTCTGGGGTTCCTATTAACAGGGCATTAATGAGCGGAGTTTCCAAAAGGGGTGGCAAGAAAGTGTGGGGTGCTCTGCAGGGAGGAAGCCGTGACTGAGCGTGTTTCTTTGCCACTTGGATTGCATTTAGATGTTTCTTGTGTTGTTTACATTCCTGCTGTCACCTGTGATTAGAAGCAGTTACCCAGTGCTGACTCTGTCTTTCCTGTTTGGAGAAGGTGGCTGAGTGAAAGGGAGGAAGGCAAGGAGGGGGAGTCGCTGCTGGTGGGGTAGGAAACAAACAGGCCTGTCCTGTGCCTGGTAATTGGTGCCCATCTAGGGCATCCTCAGCATGGGAAAGTAAGAATTTGATGAGCAAGAGTGGAGGCTGGGGAGACAGGGAAGATGAGAGGAAAGAAGACTGTGCAGATGCATGCTTCGGGGCAAGCTTGGACCGGCTTCAGGACATCCTTGCTGGCCCTCCTGAGTCCAGACTTGTGGGCACTGGGGAGAGGAGCACTGGCAAACCCTGAGCCGCACCCTCCTGGCTGTGGATGCAGGACCAGCTAAACAATGCTAAATGAAGGACCAGCTAAATGAAGGGTGCCACCTCTTTGTCAGAAATGACTAAGAATTTTGTGGTGACCACAGGACATTAAACCAAGGCTAGAGCCATGCACAGCCACATACCCAGGAAGCCAGCCTGAGTGGTGGGCCAGGGAATAGCAGGCAGGGGGGCTGTGTGTGCAGAAGTTTCTAAGGGTACTGGAAACTGCCTCTCCTCTCTTCCTGCTCCCCAGCATTCTTTCTGTGTAGGTGGGACCTTTGACCCAGACATATTTAACCCCTCAGAATAGCCCAGGAAAAATTCCTCTGGGCTGGACCCTGAAACTGGGATCATGCTTGAAATCCGAGCACTCAGGGGAATGAAAACCATGCATGTGTTGTGCGGGCCCCCACCTGCACGGCAGAGTGTTTATCTGGAAGCAGGTGATGAGCACAGAGAATACAAACCTCCCACAAGCACAGGCCCCAGCCTTTCCTTTACCTCCTCACCTCCTGCCGTTGGTTATCTTAGCAAGAAGAAAGTGCTGTGGTGGCAGAGGTTGAGGACTCCTCTCCAGTCGCTGCTGCCTCCAGATCTGTTCTTTAAAAGGCCCCAGCCATGAGCTCTGGGGGTCACCACAGCACAATGGGGCCCTCCATCAGAGCCCCACCCAGCCCTGACAGGCAGCTAGCTGCTGATTCATCCTCAGCCTCGAGTCCTCTAGCCCTGTGCCCTCAGAGCCAGGCAGCTGCCGCTCCGGGGAAACGGCACAAACTGGGCCTGCCTGGCCTTCTGTGGCCGATGGGCCAGGCTCGTGAACCACCAGGCCATGCTGGCCATTGGGAACCAGAGGTCAGGCAGACTCTCCACTCTTGGTCCCCTCTTGGCTGTCTCCTGTGCCTATTCTCCATGGTCCCCCTTGGGGCAGGGATGGCCCTTAGGTACATCTGCTTGGCAGTTGGCTTCTCTTGTCACAGAAGCACCAGGCAGGGCCTCACTTGCATCGAAGGAGAAAATCCAGGGGATGAGAGACTATGAGCTGTCTCAGGTTGGGGTTGCCTCACAGTGGGGAAAGCCACCCAAATACCAGGTCTCCCTCCCTGTGCCTCAGTGTGGGCCTTCTTCCCACGTGGGCCTTCTTCTGCTGCTGTTCCCTTTTGCATAGCCTGAAACGCGCTCATAACCGAGCTGAATATCTCAGGGTCTTCCTCTAGAAATACAGGAACTAGGATTGAGGAGCTCCAAGACTCTGACAATTGAGGATGAATTCCTTTAATTTTTTTTTATAAACTTGAGAGGTATGAGCAGTCACTGCTGGTAGGGGTTCCCCAGGAAGCCACTGCGAGAGGGGCTAAGCCTATTAGCCTGCAGGAAGCTTATTAGGAGATGCTCTCGATTAGGGTTGGTGGCAGGAGAAGCCAGCCTGTGGGTCTTCCTCTGGCCTGGGTGGGGTGAGTAGACATCCTTGATACCCACATGGTCATCTTTGGAGACAGCCCACCTGTGATGTGGGTGTGACCTGGGCTTCCTTCTGCTGAGGAAATCCTGGAGGGCGTCTACAGCTGGGGTCCCAGCTGCACTCCGAGTGGCTGAGAAACATGTCCTTCATTCCCAAAGGGGATCTGGGCATCTGTCACAGCAGCCACCTGGTTTCTGCTGTGGCTCTCTAATCAGGCCACAGTGAACGATCTTGGTAGAAACAGCCAAGCACTTACCAGACCTGGTGCTGAGCAAGCTCAGTGCCTGCACAGAGCACTTGATCTTTGTGGGGAACAGCGCTGCCCAGACTTGCATGGGAAGTGAAGCAGAGCTGGGACATGACTGCGGCCCATCTGACCTATAGACACAGTGCTAGGCAGTCATGAAAGCAGGGGAGCCTTGAATAAGGGCTGGAGAGCTTCCTCATGCTTCTTTCGTCTCCACACCAGTCCTTCATGCTGGACCACAGTGTGCATCCACTTCCAGATGAAGAAACTAAGGCATGTGAAGTTCTGGCATGCCACATGGCGGGTGCCCAGAACCAGCCAAGGAGCTGAGCTACTGGTGGAAGCTGGGCTATCTTGGCCTGGCCCATCGCATCATCCTGTGGCCCTCTGTGAGACTACTTGTGCCCAGGGGAGAGGAGGGAATGGTGGCTTTCCAGTTTCCTCAGAGTCATTTCATTTGCTCTCTAAACTGTGTTCGAGGTGTTCTGAAAAATTTTGGGCTGATCATCAAAGGATCTGATCTTTGAAGGAAAGTTTGTTGCTTTGTCCTTGAATTCAGCATTGGGTATTGATTGCAGGGTGTGGCTGGAGGGGAGCCCCTGAGGGAGGAAGCAAACAGGCACCTGCTGTCTGCTTTGCTGATTTGCTAGTGGGAGGCTGAGGATGGAGAGCCAGGAAGGAGAGAAAGTGGAGTAGCTCCACTCTCTCTTTACTGTCCCACAACCTCAGCCTCGTTGGCCAGAGTGGAATGTGGGCCCATTGGTTGCTATAGTACATCCTACACTCACCTCCTGCTGGAAGAAGGGAGCCCCCAGTGTGAAGAAAACTTCACTTGTCCCTCCCTCTGACCCCAGCCCTGGGTTCCTGAACCCTGCGCCTCTGGGTCCTTCCAGGGGAGAGCTGAATGGTCAGGAGCCCCATGGAAAAAGAGCAGGGAGTCTCTGAAGCTTCGCCCATCGCCTGTGGAGTGTCAGTTTGTTTCTGGCCTTGGCCGTCTCTGTGGCTGCCATTACCCAGCAGGCCTGTTTTCTGTGGAACATTGCCAGAGGCAAAGGAACAGGATACACAAAGAGAAAAATAAAGATTAGTGTGATGGATGACTTCTCCCAACAGTTAGCAGTCACTTATTAAGAGCAATGCTAATGGCTTTGGAGAGGAGTAACAGCTCCAGACTGTACCAGTCCCCCAGAAGGGCTCCTCCCCTGTACCAGCCAAGCCAGCCCTTGGACAGAGGGGTCCTTTCCCAGCCTGGCTGTGCCTTATCCAGAGCTGGAGAGGTACAGGCGTGGACAGAGCCAGCCAAGGGCAGGAACTTTCCACAGACTTCCCTCAAAGCCGTGGCACTGAGAGCCTGGCTTCTCCCTGGAAGATTTCTCAGAGCCTCAGTCCCAAAAGCAGTTGGCCCAAGTTTAAGGTCTTCACCATTTGCATAATCAGTTTATTTATTAAAATGGTGCCAGTAAGATGTAACTGAAGCTGTGATAAAGATAATGCTTTTCTGAAGAGAAAAAACAGCCTGTAATGTCTTGAATACCTGCCAGACAGTCACTTTTGAAATTGACCTCTGAAGCCCAGATTAACTCTTTTATGTATGCTATATAAAGATGGTTAAGAATCGTGCTGTAATTATTTGTTTATTGGTGCCTATTTCTCAAAAACTGAGGGAGGCAAAGAGTTTCACAAAGGCATAAATTAAATTTAAAATTTTTTAAAGCATTGCTTCATTTGTGAGATGTCAATGACAGTATGTGCATTTTTTTTCTAATGAGATTCTAGCATTTTGATTTTATTTACCTGGAGAAGGAGGCTGGAATTTACAAGCTGTAAACGCGACTTTGTGGGCTGGAGGAATAAGGATATTTGACAAAGGAGTCCAAGAGAAGGATTGTTGGATGCGTAGGAAATGTGATGAGGCTATGTGGCATCACAGCTGGTGGTGACACTTGTGCGGATGCAGCTCAGACATCCCCCTAGAA